TGAAAAACAAAATCACCATTCCGGTTTTCATGTGGACAGGTGGCCAAAACACAGAGAAAAAAGTTTTTAATAATATCTGCGTCCATGTCAATGGGGAACTTAGGCTTATGACACTTAAGGTTTTAATTGGTCCATGACAAAAGAACCATGCTGTTTACAGATTAGCGGTTTACCCACAGTACTTTTGGCCAAAATTATTTTTCTTATGATCATGTGACTACTTTGATTAATCAAAATACCCAAAGAACAGCTGTGGCTGCTCAGAATGCTCACAGCTCACCGTAAAACATTAAGTGATTGTTTACAGGGCACAAGTGCACATTGCCATTCTGCAATATCAGTACAGCAACACTGCTATAGCAGCAATTAACAAACAATTATACAGTCCTACGTCTGAGTTTTTTAATAAATTTTGAGTGCTTGGAATCGGTGAGGAAGTGTACGAGTCGGCTCTGAATGTTTGCTTTAAACTCCACTTACAGTCATCATATTGTATATTTAAGGTGATTTTTCTTATGAAGCAATGCATAAATGGTAAAATTACCCATGTTAAATCAACTCCAGTGGAGGCCATTTGAACCCACCCTGTCTGAGCAGGCTTGATTGATCTCTGAACAGGATCGTTTAACACTGCAGTCTAAATGTTCCAGCCTAAGATCAGTATGAGAGCAATCAGCATGGGACAGGTACTACACTACAACAAGAACTACTTCAACAGAAGCAAAACTACACAGAAAGTTCTTGCATTAAAAAACTTCTCAAGCAAAACTTTGACCCTGGGAAACAGCTTCTGAACAGCAAAGCTGCCTCTGAAGCAAAGGCTATAAGTGGTGGTGGCCTATAAAAATAGATCCATATTTGCAGCGTCATAAACATGGTCTGAAATCTAAGTGTTAAAGTACAAAATTCAGCAAACAAATGCTTAAATGGAGTAAAAGTAAATGTCTGGTGAGTATGAAGTAGCATTATCATGTATTAAACTGAAAGCACAAATGACCTAGCATAAACCTCTGGGAAGAAAAGTGGATACTTCAAATATATATATAATTTTTTTGTGAAATTTGCGAAAATCTCATCACGTCCCGTTCTAGAGAAGGCAAACTACAGAAAAATCTGAGCAAGTGTTGTTCAAGGGCTTTTCAAACATAAACTGCAGGTGAGCAAATGAGCACCATGTCCAGTGGCTAGTTGCTTAGCATCTTACGCTTGTTGCTAGCGGGCATAAAAAACTAACTGCTAGATGGCTATTTCACTACTGTTTTGGTCTAAATCATAAATTATGATCAGTTTGATGACGTCTAGTTCCTTTCTCTTGGGTAAGAAGTTACTGGCTTGGTAAGCAGAGAAAATCAGGTAGAAAACATAGGTTTTCAAACTTGTGTGTACTGGGAGGCAAATCAAGCTTTCTGCCTGACGAGCAGAAAATCTGAACAAAGGCCAGTCAAAGGCTTTTCAAGCATGAACCTTCCAGGCGACCAAACATACAATTAGTGCTGTTGTTAAGTGGCTAGTTGCAAAGCATCCTATGCCTGTTGCTAGCTGGCAACAAAATCTACTCTAAATCACAAGTAATGTCTGGTTGGACATCTTGTTCATTCTAGTTCATTTGTTTTGGTTAAGGTTGTGTTAGCTAGGTGTATCTGACAACAGCACACCAAGTTTGCCAAGTTAGCAACTGAAAGTTAACATTAAGTTCAATACTCAAATAAGTTGGAGATATAATGGTTAGAATGAACTTGTGTGCAAAATGTGAGATATAACGTTACATTCTTTCTTAGGTTGAACATGCTGCTCATATTGCTTCTGTTTTAGCAATACCTCCAAAGCAGCCAACGGTTGGTGAGTGAAGCAGTTCAGCTCGCTGCAATGAAAATGCATTATTAACAAACAGTGCGTGGATACTGCAGATTTTGAAAACATATAATTAAAACATTAAAAATATAATAAAAATGATGGCTTAAAACAACGGCAGGTCTTTTCCACTCAACTGACTGTAAAGTTTCGTCCTTTTATCTTATTTTTTATAATTATTTTAGCCAAGTTGCAAGCAACAAAGTTGCAAGAGTCTTCACACTCAAGTCCCGAGTCAGAGAGCAAAATGAGTGAACGTGCGAAGCTGAAGTAAACCGTCAGCTTTTTATTTTAATTTGTTGTTCCACCTGAAATGGCGCAGCAGTTCTGACGCCTGAGGCGCTGAAAAGTTGGAACCATTTACTTCAGCTTTGAAGTCGAGTCCCAAGTCTTTCTTGATTTTCTGGAGTCGAGTCTAAAGTCATGAAATTTGTGACTCAAATTCGACTTAAGTCCAAGTCATATGACTCGAGTCCATACCTCTTGTGTATAATACAACAGCAAATGCCATCGGTAGCCAAAAATCATCAAGAGATGAGTTAGATATTACCTTAAAAGAGCAAGGTTTTTTCAAACCTGAACCTTGAAAAGGTATCATTAGCACGGTTGTCTAGTGGCTAGTTGCTAAGCATCATATGCTTGCTGCTAGCTGGAAACAAGAACTTGCAGACAGGCATTTCACTTCTTTTTCAGCCTAAACCACAATCAATCACCAGTTGGACATTCACTCGTTTATTTCTCTCTGTTAAGAACTTTTGTTTCAGTGTTAGCATGTAGAATCCCAGCGAGCAAAAGATATCAGTTACAAATTTGTGCACCTTGGGAGAGTAAATGAGACTGTGTCTGCCTGATGAATAGAGAATCTGAGGAGCTGGTCAAAGACGTTTCAAACACAAGTCTTGCAGGCGAAAAAATGTAGAATTAGCACTGTTGTCAAGTGGTTAGTTGCTAAGCATCCTGTACTCATTGCTAGCTAGCAACAAGAACTCACAGACTGGAATCTCACTTCTGTTTTGGTCTAAATCACAAATAGTGATTGATTGGATGTCTTCTAGAATAATTCTCAAGCTTAAGAACTTGTTGGCTGGGTATAAGCAGGCAGAATCGCACCAGACAAATGTCTTAGTCATCCAAAAAACTCAGGATATTGGTTACAAACCTATGTGTCTTGAGAGTAAATGAAACTTAACTGTTTCTGCCTAATGAGTTTGCCGAGACCAATCAGATTCTATTCCATCCTGCTTCAGTTTGAGCCTGCTTTGTTCTCAGATATCACTGAGATGCTCCTGACAGCTGTAGCTGAGACCACCAGAAATGAGATATGGGGCAAATTAGTCTCGATTCATTTGGATTCAGTACAATTTCACTGCGGAATAGAGCGGCGCAAATCCATTTGCTTGCACGCAACATGCATAATTGAAGGAGGCCCGATTCGGAGCACTGGAGCCTACCTTGTCACTGTTACTCGATTCACCACAAGGAAATGGCTGACTTTAAAGGCCCCATATCCTATATATTTCTTGCATTTTAGTTTTTTACCTGAGGTCTGTTTATGATGTTTGTGTTAGCTTGGGTACCAATAACAGACTTCATTCACACTTTCTAAAACAAGCTGTTTTGGTTACCGTGCCTTTACTGATATTAATTATTAACTAACTATATGGCCAAGTATGTGGATACCTGACTATCACACATTTATGAGCTTGTTGGACATCCCGGTCCAAGACCATATGGAGTTGGTCCCCATTGCAGCTATAACACCTTAAACTCTACAACATTTCTCTTCCGTGGAACTGAGGGGCCAAACTCAAACCCTGAAAAACTGCCCCAGACCATTATCCCTCCTCCACCAAACTTTACTGTTGGCACTATGCATTCCAGTAGGTAGCATTCTTCTAGGCTTCACCAAACACATTTTTGTCCAGACTGCCAGACAGTGAAGCGTAGTTCTTTACCCTAGAGAACAGGTTTCCACTCCTCCTCAGTTCAGCGGCAGCGTGCTATACACCACTTCAGCCTATGCTCGGCTGCATATAAGGATCTAAGGCCTCAGTTCTTGTGCTAACTATACATTTCAGGTAGGTAGCATTTATCTGGCATCTTCAGTACGACCTATTCTACTTTCAGTGTTTGTCCATAGAGACTGCATGGCTGTGTCCTTGATTTTACACACCTGTTAGGAAGGGGTGTGGCTCAAACACCTGAACTCAATAATAACTCTGCTATAGGCTGAACAGGTAACAGTAAACGCATTGGTTTTTGTGACAATATAAAAACAATCGATGCAAACTCGTCTGTTTGCTAAACATAACACTCTATTTGTCTACATGTTTCCATGTGTTTCCTTTAACAATGTTTACATAGTACATCAAACACTGATTCCAAAAGAACCACGATATGGACTCTTTACTTCTTTGCAAAGGGCCACCTCCATTTCAGCAGGGCACTAAGTGTGGAACATACCGATGCTTAGAAATCAAGACTAGGGCAAAAAAGGCATTGTGTGAGATCTATAAAACATGATGCCGAGCCCCAGCGTAATCAATAAACGCATTATCGCCGGTGCCAGATGCAATGTGATCCTGTACTAATACGTCTTAATAACGCCTCCTCCGTCTCCAAGACAACCAGATGGAGAAACTACTGCAGATAGGAGAAAAAAAATCAACAACAGACAATGGATCTTTGTTTCTTTTCAGGTGTAAATAGCATTCAGAGCTTGAATTAGTGTGACATTTGCCTTAGTCGTGTATCAGAAAGCACAATGAGCCGGGACGAAGCGGCATAATTGAGCTTTAGCTGCAATGTGCCGCTGCATTGTTTACTAAGAGTGTTGTTTGTCCGCACTCCAAACATTTTACCATCAAACGCATTTAGCATTAAACTTTAATATTAACTACTGACATTTGTATAAGGCTCTAGTGCACAGTAATGGCAGTGTCTTGGGATTGTAATGGACAACAGAATTACAGAGAGAGGGGGATGTCCGCTGGGAAATTTGTCTCTTTAGTCAGAATATGTCTCTAAATGCCTGAACAGAATGGATTTTATTGAGCTAATAAGTCAAACACCCACCCACACCCATCCACCAAGACATCCACACACTAAGTACACACTCAAACATCCCACACACAGCTCTGTGTACTCACGCATCGTCTACATAGCATGGATAAGGCATCTGCTGTGTGTAGACACCCAGAGTTTGCCGGACGCCGGTTTGTGTGCGTATGATGCCGTGGTCCAGCATATCCTGCAGGTACACAAAACCCCCTCTCACGTAGCGCAGGTCATTATAGGGGTTATCACGAGCGGACGGTCTCCAGGACCTGAAAGAAACCAGCAAGACAGCCTGTAAACATGTGAGCAGACTAAGGCTGACTTTACGGTGAAAATTGCAAGCAATGTTGCTTGAAACCTACATGAAGCTAAATTGTATTTGAGTTGCATAATGTAAAGTATCCTGCAACGTACTTGAAACTCAGCCACAACAGTTGCAAACATCTCAACTTTTGAAAGAAGTTTAATGAAACAGCCAATCAAAACAACACCAATCTGTCATGAGATCACGTCAAACATGTTTTTGAAATTACTGCTCTCTCCGCAGATCAATGGACTGCAATAAGATCCTGTTTAACACTCATATTCCATCAAATATGATATTATAACCCCCGTTTTCAACAGTGATCATAACAGATTATGCATTATATACATTTTGTTATTTTAGAGCCATTTATTTTGAAGAAACACAGATTAGAGTTTTATTAAGGTCATGTTTTTTCTTTAACACAGCTCAAATTCTACACTTTTAAATGGTTTATTCACTCTGCATTATGCTTAATTCATTATGACCTGTAAAAGTACATAACTGCAAATGAATATAAAATAAGTTACACATCCTCACTACACACTTCTGCAGATTTTAATGCACACAATGTTTTTTTGCTGAAATAAACATATTGGGTGGAAAATTAAACATATGGCTTGTGCAAAAGTTTTCTTTCAAATATTTTCCAAAACTCAGCAACTGAATAAAAATTGTGCACTTAAATTTGAAAAAAAGAAGCCATATTTAAGCTTGTTCCCTGTAGATGATGTGCTAGCTTTACTTGCTTTATCAGCAAAAATCAGGAGGTTACTGTTAAATCTTTACATACTATTGTAAGCTCCTGGCAACAAGAAAGTCATGAAATTATCTGAACTTTATAATTTGGTATTTAAATTGACTGAAAACTTGTTAAGCACGTTTTAGCCTCTAAACACTGATGACTAAAAGCATTAGTGACTTATTTAACTCATATTCTAGCTTTAAACCAATACATGCCAGAAGTCATTTGACAATACTTAGAATATATAGAAATAAAATGCTGCCATTATGCACTAAAATGGTATGAATTTAGATGATTACCTTATGCTCAATAATTTGCACAACAAGGTCTTAACCAAATGTTTATTGTGTATTATTACAACTAATAATGCTACAACCAGTGATCTGCACAGAACAGACTCTAATTTCATACTAACACAGGTTATAATGAATAAACCTTAGTGCAAAGTGGAAAATCCATTTAGAGGGTTTTTGAACAAAGAACAAGACCTTAAAAGTGCTCCTTAAAATAAAGTGCTGCCTGTTGATGGAGTTTTGTGTTAAGGCTGACCAGTTCAGCTTGAATTTCTGTCTTTTACTTAAACCGAGACCCAGACTGATAATACTGATAATAATAAAGACATTAGGCAACTTTCTACCAAATGGAGCTGTTTAAACCTACTCAGCCTCGAAGAACAGTGGATTGGCTGACACTGACAAGGACATATATTCCAATAATACACTACCGAAGCATGCATTTAACTATGTGTCCTTTAGCTGCCACATTACATATGCATATACATTGGACACACTGGCTTAGTGGAATTATCATGCACATCCTGTGTACATTGTGACACTATGAAGCTGGATACACAGCTTTTGAACTCAGAGTTACTTCAGAAGGAACTTTGGAAGGAACAAAGACTGGACCGCATATAAAAAGAGCGGTCAGAGAAATAACAAACCACAGTTGCTTTTGAAATGAAAAAAGGTCCTGTCATTTTTTTTTCTTTTTTTCTTTCATTTCCGAGTTCCAGGCAACAATACTCGACTCTCTGCTGATCCACACAAACACTGCAGGTCAAAATGGAATCATAGGTTCATATTAATAGCTGTGGTCATTGTATCAAGTAATAATTCATAATAGCGAAGCCTTAAATATTATAATATAGAAACCAAAAGGTATTTTTACATGTTTTGTTCAATAGTTTAAGTTTTGGGGAACAACAAAATACAACACATTCTAATCTAATCATAGATCAAACTTTTAAACAGTGAGTCTAAACTTTTGAATGGTGATTCTAAATTATTCAACAGTGATTCTGAAGTTTTGATCAGTGATTTTGAACTTTTGAACAGTGATTCTAAAGTTTTGAAAGCTGATTCTTAACAATTTGAAAAGTCATTCTAAACTTTAGTGAATCTAAACTTTTAAACAGTGATTCTAAATGTCTGAACAGTGATTTTAAACTTGGACAGTGATTCTAAACTTTTGAACAGTGATTCTAAACTTTTGAACACTGATTCTAAACTTTTGCACAGTGTTTCTAAACCTTTGAATAGTGAATCTAAACTTTTGAATAGTGATTCTAAACTTTTGAACAGTGAATCTAAACTTCTGAACAGTGATTCTAAACTTTTGAACAGTGAATCTAAACTTCTGAACAGTGATTCTAAACTTTTGAACAGTGAATCTAAACTTCTGAATAATAATTCTGAACTTTTGAACAGTGAATCTAAACTTCTGAACAGTGATTCTAAACTTTTGAACAGTGTTTCTAAACTTTTGAACAGTGATTCTAAACTTTTGAACAATGATTCTAAACTTTTAAATAGTGTTTCTAAACTTTTGAACAGTGATTCTAAACTTTTGAACAATGATTCTAAACTTTTAAATAGTGTTTCTAAACTTCTGAACAGTGATTTCTAAACTTTTCATTTGTAATTTTAACCTTTCACTCTTAAAAAAGTTGCCAGAAAGTTCTTTTTTTTTATCTGAAGGTCCTTTTGATAACATTTGATTCCAAACTTTGGAAATCTGATTCTGAACTCTTCAACAATTTTGAGCAAAAATGACAAAATGAGAACGAGGGTGACTCAAAACTTTTGAACAGTACTGTACCTGTCTTTGATCTTATCTGTCCTCTCTGTGTCCTCGATGTCCATGCGGAGCTTGTATCTGACCAGCGAGGGGGAGTCAAGGTCAGTGAAGACGATCCCGGCCCAAAACCTCTCTTCATCCAGGAGCTTCATAGCGCGCTCCACCAGCAACAACTCACTGGAGACGGCTTCAAACTTATCCAGATCAAAACACTGCAACACACACACACACACACAGCTCTCAGACGTGGTGTAAAACATAAAACTTACAGCAGAGGGTGAATAAAAACCACAGCATGAGCAGAAGAGCATAGAAGAACAGCATGATGGACAGAAAAGATAAGCAGTGGAGGGAGCTGACGTTCAGGTATGGACAGAGAGAATAACAGAGCAGATAGATGGACAGACAGATGGATAGAATGGTAGAGCAGATATGAATGTCCACGGTCTGGCCTCGTTCTTATCATTTTATCCATTACCTTGCTTAATGTACTTAGCTTAATCTAACACTGATGTGTGGTGAACAGCAACGGCAAATTATTATTATTTAATTTAATGAAAAGAAGAAAAAAGTCTCATCATTTCATATTGTGTTTTTTATCTAAACTAAACAAAAAACATTCAGAAATCCAGACTTGAACCTATCAGTACGACATCTGTGGCAATGCACTGTGACACTTATATTGCCATGCAAAACTGCCAATGAGCATCGTGGAGAATTAACATTTTATTACAATATGTAGTGTAACTGCATTGTTTGAACGCTAATGTTTACAAACGGCACCAATCAACAACTCATTCTAGCACTTTTGCTGCCTTCCAGCTCTAGTGTTGTTAGTAACATGTGCAGCATGTAACAACATGACTGTTTTGTTCAACATATCAATAGAATACCCATCATCATGATCCAGAATCATCAATCATATGTACATACATATCTATATCTATATATACATACATATATAGTGTAAAAACTGAGTATTCAGCCTGTTCAGAAAATTATGGCAACAGTTTACATGGATCTGTTTGCACTGGTTTCATTTTCAGTATTTTTATGTAAAAAAACTTGGTCATCTTTTCTGACCAAGTACACCGGTTTACGCTCAGAAAATATATCAGCTACACAACAGAAACCAACAATGACATTCTTGAGAACTTTATTTTGTTGAGGCTAACATAAAAAGTGCCTATTTCTGCAGTTTCATCTACTTTTTTAAATTAATAATACAATTTCTGAAAACTAAATGTGATCTAACATCTCCAAGAATTCTGAGATGTTTACGCAGTTTGAGTCACAAACTGTCTTTTTGAACAAGAAAATACATAAATAGGAATATAAATCACACATCTATTGCACTTAATAGCTGCTCTGATTAATCAAATTCATATTAAGCCCTTAATGATGCTCTATGTAAAAGCTCACTTAGGAAAAAAAAAAGCAAATATTTAATATAATTGTAGAAAATATGGTAGCACACAGCTTCACTTCTACACAGTGGAACTGAAAAAATTACATGGCCAGTGGCATTTTTAACCCTACTAAACCAAACATCTTCCTGGTGATACATTCAGAATTTTAGGCGAAATTTTCTTTAGTTCATTAAAACCCGTGCTTATCGTTCTCAAAAAGGTAGCCTGGCACACTAGATCGCTTTATTAATGAAGAACAGTAGATTAAACATTGTATTTGATCATGTGTTGATTGCATTTGAGTTGTAAAGGGTTGATCTTCAAGGAACTTCTAGGAAAGGGGGAATAAAAGCGCAGGAGACTGGCAGAAAAGACAAGCAGCGTTGAGAGCACATGTTCAGGTATGGACAGACAGAATAACAGAGTGGAGGATGGACTGATAGATGGACACATGGGTGGACGGAGAGGGGAACAGATGAATGGAGAGAGCAGTACTGCTCTGATTTGTAGGTCCACGGTCTAGTCTCATCTGTTTGCACCTTCGCCTCTCTCTGCTTTAATGAGCCGCCATAGCTGACAGGCCTGCACCGGGGCACAGCAGTTGCAGTGTGTAATGAATATCAGACTGGACACAGAGCTTGAGCCGTATGCGCACACACGCATGCACCCAGCAGGCAACCATAAGACATGGTACCGTCATTCAAAAAAGATCACAACACACTAAAACTTGCTATTTCACTACAAAGTTGCGTTTGAGTTGTACATGAACTGCATATGAGCTGTATATGAGCAGTCAACAGATATTATGCTTATTCTGGTACATTAATTCAAATGTAATTATGAAAATACATAGTACGATTTGCAGTTATTTGATTTTGCATTTTGTATTGTCAGGTTCAAGTCCAAGCACTTCCAGATTTTTCCATTAATTTTAATGTGAAATGATAAAAAGGTGGCAAAAATATAACGGCACTTTCCACACCAATAAAATTCAAATAACAAAACAGCTCCTTTTCTACTTTTACAAATGTAGTAAGGATTAAGTAAGTCATCTACCTGAAATCTATCTGAAATGCATTTGAGTTATATTTGAGATGCTTTTGAGCTGTATTCGAGTTGTATATAAATTGAGTTGTGACTTAATTGTGTGAGCTGTATCTGAACTCTATTTGAGTTGTATTTGAGCTGTATCTAAGCTGCATTTCAGCTGTGTTTGAGCTCCATTTGAGTTGTATTTTAGTTGCATTTTAAATACTATACTATGAGCTGCACTTAAGTTGTATTTAGGCTTTTTTGTTTTTTTTTTCTTTGATTTGGTTTTCAAGTTGTGTTTTGAGTTGTACTTGAGTTGCATTTTAAATACAGCGCTTGAGATGTATTTGAGCTGTATTTAACTTGTTCTTGAGTTGTGTTTCAGTTGCAATTTTAAATAATGCTCTTATCTGAAAAAAAAACTCTTAATGTAATTGTTAATTGATTCTTTCTTCATTAGTCGTGACCATATCTAGCGTGTTGGGCATTTTTTAATTTGTGCTTATTTTTCTAGTGTTTAAAGGCTTTTGCTTGATTTACATCTATTTACTCTTTATTAAAATAATGTTTTTATCTGTGTTCATTTGTCCTTGCATTTCATTTTAATACTCTACTGTGAAGCACTTTACAACCTTAGTTTAGGAAAGTATTACATAAATAAATGATATTCACTTCTCCTTGGATTTTTCATTGTGTACTTTCCATTTAATTCCCACATTTCTGCAGCCATGATTAAAACTGCAGCCTAATTCACAACAACGTCTTCAACAGTTTGTTTCCTGCAGCCTAAAAGCGGCTATAAAGTGGCAGAATTTTAATGCAGGACCTTTAGTGACCACTATCAACCAGCATTTAATGAGTTTATTTTATAAAACAGTTTTCTGTGTCTTAGGTCACATTCTCTCAACTTATTTTCAATTCAATTTCTTACTTATTACTTTGTTTTCACTCCCTGGCTGGCAGCTCATACCGATTAATGAGTGTAGAACAATTATTTTACTTTTATTTACATTATATCACTTAAATATTTATCTTCATGTGACTAAAGGTAATGACTGTTTTCAGGCACAGAAATCTATGTTAACCCTTTGAAGTCACAGTTACTATCGGTGATAACAAAAGAATATTGTCATTTCATATTCACTCTCATAGTTCATTGAAACAAGTGGAGAAAGTCTGCGGAAAATCCAAATTCTAAACTTCTAATCTTTAACATTTGAGTACAGTATTTTAAGATATTTTGAGTTATTTATTAAGATTTATGAATCTAATGAAAAAAGTTTTAACATTTACATTTTTGTTGTTTGTCATTTTTATACATACATACAAAATCAGTTTAAACAAGTTTAATAGAAACATTATTCCTTATGTTTTATATGTGTGTGCATATATATATATATATACACACACACACACACACACGTATGTTAGATTAAATACTTAAATAATTAAATCATTATGTACATTATGTAAATACTATGTCAATCAGTGTGTACTCCAATAACAGTAATAACTCCAGACTGTAATAGGCAAAACAATTAGAAAAAAATATATAAATTATTAAAACAGTAACCTTACCAAGTTGTAGAATAAGTGAATTTGTTTACGCAACTCGCAACCTGCTATTATTTGGAAGTTTGTGGTCTGACTTTAGACTTCAGTCACTAGCTGACTGTTTTTCTTTTTTTGATGCATAAACACTTTACACAATAAAGTGTTCATGCATCAAAAAAAGAAAAACAAAACATGATACTGTGGACAAGGAATGTTTTTCCACTGCACAAAGTATCAGAACCTTTGGCAGTAGAAAACTGGAACTGGGCTTCTTTACATTGGCCATTGGTCCAGAATCAAAGGTTCCAGTTTCATGGTTTTTAGTACACGCTCAATATGAGTACTCATTATAATACATATATGATACATATATTATTAGCATTCAATATAGTACTCATATATTCACACTTGTAAAATATCAGCTTGGCTAAACATAATATTTGCTTGATTCTACACATGATTTTGTGTGTTTGTAGATGTTTCTGTGAGTGAACAGTGCAATACAGCATTTCACATGAGTCATTAATTTAAGCTAAGTATAGTACGATCATTTTTTGTTATTATGACGGTTCCAGCTGTGTCTCAAATCAACCCGATTTGGAACCATAAGTTCTGTTGTTTCTCGTTTGAATCAGTACTTGTTCTTTTTTTTGTGCAGTGGAAAAACTTCTAAAATGTATGCCTTCGTCAAGTTACGAAGATACAATTTGCTCCTCACAAAAAAATGTGTCCCATTTTAGGTTGCTACAACAAACATTTTGGCTGTCACCATTACCAACGGCTGAGACAGCAGTGATTGGCTGAATGATTTAATGTTGCCTGTATTATACAGTTTTCATATAAACACACTGATGTCTGAATACGCTGTGCAAATAAATTGTGTTCAGTGTTTAAAGACTTTAAGGATTAACCTTTTAAATGCCAGGACCCGTGAGCAGGTCCAGACTTCTACTACACACTTCTATAAGATAAGAATAACTCCATCTGTTTGCATTGTTTTTGAATTAGAGAGTAATATGCCTCAGGATATAATCGATCTGGGATTCTTTAAGGGCTAATGTTCAGTAACACATGTTACAGAAACAAATGTGCAATTAGGGATCAATTAGACAAGACAAGGTGCACAGGTAACTGTGGCCGTGGGTGCACTCGTACTGCCAAGGAAACATTGTGTTAGTCCTGTTATTCACACTCGTCCTCCCCAGAGAGTGAGTGTA